AGTTGCCTCAAGACATATACACTTACTTTGGAGATTCAGAATAGCTGGTGGCACATCTGTCAGCTGGGAAGGCTGGGAACATGTGACCAGCTAAAAATTCTATGCATATGGACAAGGGTTTCTACAATACGCTGTCTTTTTTTCTCTCTCTCTTGACATCCCAATGAGTAGACAGATTTTTTTTTTGCTGATTTGAAAATTGTACATTGTATTTATACATTGTATTTTTATTTTTCTATTGGCTGCCTCTAACTTAATAAGACCTACAAACCCGTTGCCGTCAAGTCGATTCCGACTCATAGCGACCCTATGTCACCTTGTCTTAACAGGGTTTCCAAGGCTATAAATCTTTACAGAAGCAGACTGTCTCCCATGAAGCAGCTGGTGTGTTCGAACCACTGACCTTTCAGTTAGCAGCTGAGAGCTTAACCGTTGTGCCACCAGGGCTCCTCTTACTTATTATTTTTCCCTAGTAGTGTGTAAAGGAGCCTGAGTGTTGCAAGTGGTTTGCAGTTGGCTGCTATCCCAAAGGTTGGCAGTTTGAACCCACCCAGCGGCTCCGCAGAAGTAAGGTCTGGTGAACTGCTTCCGTAAAGATTACAGCCAAGAAAACCCTATGGAGCAGTTCTGCTCTGTAACATACAGGGTCACCAAGATTTGGAGGCGGACTCAACCGCAGCTAACAACACCAATAATCAGTGTGTAAAGCTTAACTAAATTCTGAGTTTTCCCTCTGAATGTGGTAAGACTTATACTTTACCCACTTCAGGTTTCTACCCTCCCTTCCTCTGTCCTTAGTTTTGACTGGATATTTTAGTTCAGAATTTTTACAGATATTTCCTGTTTCAGTGATTGCTTATGTAAACAAAGGAAACATTTAACGATTTACTAATCCTTTGCACCTATTTCTTACTGTTTTCTCCTGGACTCATTTCTCTTGCTGAAGTATATCCTTCAAGAGTTTTATCAAAGAGGGATTTTATGGGGAAAATTTTATGAAAATATATTTTTATTCCTGAAAACATCTTTATTTTACTTTAATGTTTAATTGATAATTTTACCTGTATATAAATTCTAGGTTCCAAATTATTGTCTTTCAGCACTTTGAAGCTGTTACTCAATTATGAGGCTTTCCCTGCTGCTGTTGAGAAATCTGATGTTAGTCTGATTCTTGATTCTTTGTAGGTGTTCTGCTTCTATTCCTCTGCAAGTTTTTAGATTTCTTCTCTGTCTTTGATCTCCTAGGACTTCTGTTGGAATATACTATAATACTTAACATCTAGCTTCTTTTTTTTTTTTAACTTTTCACTGGTTTGTTCCTTCTCTTTGTCCTTTCCTGATGTATTCTGAGAGAGTTTCTCAACCCACTTTTTTGCCCATTTATCTTTTCTCTAGTTATATCTATTTCTGCTGTTAAACTTGTTTACTTAGTTTTTATTTTTAACAATTATATTTTTCATACCAAATTTCCTCAGTTATTTCTTCTTCAAAACAACTTTCCAGTATCTTTATCTTTCTGAGGAGATTTTAAATTCTTTTGTCCTTACTCCTCTGGTGTAGGTTGTTCCCTTTGTTGTTTTTCATGGTGCTTGTTTTCCTCCAATGTCTGGTTAGGTGTTTGTTTTTTTTGTACACTTATCTTTCATTCCTTGGGACTTTTAGCTGCCTTGGCTAGTGATGTGTAACTGAGGAGAGGGTATAAGCCTAAACCCTAGTTTGCCCTCCCTCTACATGAATTTAGGGAATTGAGTGGGGGACGTACCTCAGGGTTTAACTTTTGCCTTTTCTCTCTTCCATCTTCCTCTTGCTTCCCAGGGAACTTCCCTGTACCAGTCCTCCAGGTGCTGCCATTATCTGGGAGCAGCCATCATTCCTTGTTATTGCCAAGCCCAGGGAGTTGGGGAGTGGGAAGTGATGGGGGGCTCTGGAGCTACCCTTTATTCCTTACCCTACCCTGGCTCCACTGATGCCACTACCCACAGGGGCCAAAGGTCAGGCAGTTAAATCTCTTGGTATATATGTGTATTTGTGGGGGAGGGACACTGCTAGGAACCCCCTTAATCTATCTCTGACCTGTAAGCTCCTGGCCCTTTCCTGTTAAGTATTCTCCCTCTCTAGGGCTCGGCTACCTTCGTCTCTCCCAAGAGCTTCTCACAGTGTTTGTGTTGGTTGCTCAACGGGACTCCGAGGTCCATCAGTCTGTCTACTCTCCATTGGTCCTTGAAAGTGTGCCATCTTCTAAGGTACTAGTGTAGACCTACTAGGAAAAATGGAAAATGATGATGATCAAATTGGTAAAGAGAAAAAAATGGAAAGGACACAGGGATATGGGACACAGCTGGTGGGTGACATAATAGGTTAAGTAGGATATATATATACACACACAGTGTGTATATACACTTAAAAGCCTTCAGAATATTTATCCCTTTGATCTAGAAGTTTTATCTCTAGGAGTTGATCCTTAGAAGATGATTTTGATATGTCCAAGGTATTTCTACAATGTTGCGTATTACAGGTAGTTCCCAACTTAGATGGGGTTCTGTCCGACTAAGTCAGTTCTGACGTAAGTCAAATATCTCATTTTTTTTTTTTAGTTTTCATTATTATTGTCTTTTATTATTAGTATCTTTATAAATCTGATTTTTATTTGTCTCTAGGGGTTGGAAACATTATATGTAAACTCACAGGTATATCTTAATGCATGCATAAAAAAATACACAAATCATAAAAATTTACTCTGACAATGAAGAAGAGTTGGATGACATTGGCATTTTGTCAGCTGTGGTAATAACTCCACTTGTGGAAGGCTCTGGATCATCTGGATTATCCCTGGGAATGGGGTTTGTGTTTCTAGTCAGAAAATTAGTGAGAGTTCCTCTTCTTTTTTTCTTTATGTATTTCGTGGTAACACCTCATTGCTTCCCATATCTGCCTGTCGGTTTTAGCAAAGTGATCAGTGTTTGGATCCATGTTTTCAAGCAAGTGAAGCCCCTGATTTAGTTTAGAAAACTAAATCTATATGGCAGTGTTTTGAATAGTAAACCACAAAATTGAACATCTGAGAATAATAACATCGGCAAATTATGCGCTACAGCATTGTATGTAGTACATATTACTGATAAGATTGACAAAAAAAAAAGTTATAACTGGTTCATCATAACTTGAATACATATTAAGTTGGGGACAACCTTATAGTATTGTTCGTAATATTTAAAAAATCGTAATCAAACTGAAGATCCTATTGTAGTGAATTCATTAATAAGTTATTGTGTACCTCTGTCTTGCAAAGCTTTGTAACTATTATAAAAGATGTTGTAGAAGATTGTTTGATAACATAGGAAAATGTTTATAATATGGTGAATGCGAGGATGGGAAGCAAGTTATACTACTATATTGTGATCCATTTTCATGTACACACACATATATAAGTTGCCTCTGACTGTACAGGTGATTTTATTTTCTTTTTCTCTATTTTCAAGATTTTCTGCAATGAATACATGTTTTATGTGAACGTAGAATCATCAAAATAGAGATAAATGAGAGATCAGAAAAAAAGTAATGAGAAAGCCGAATTTTGACATGGGTGGTGGGAAACTAGGACAGAAGTGAGGTACAGTGGATTTCAAGAAAAATGGTATGTTTGTAGTCTTTGAATATATTTTTGCAAGTTTATTTGAATGAAATAATCCAGAAAAAAGTAAAAGTTGAGCATTGTGGCTTTATTTCTAGTAGCAATAAGTAACCACAATCCTAAGTAAAGCTAAATGTCCAATAATTGGGAAGTGATTAAGTGAATTACGGTGTATGGAATATTATACTGAAAAAACCAAACCCGTTGCTGTCGAGTTGATTCCGACTCATAACCTATAGGACAGGGTAGAACTGCCCTGTAGGGTTTCCAAGGCTGTAATCTTTATGGAAGCAGATTGCTACATCTTTCTGCCACATAGTGGCTGGTGGGTTTGAACTGCTGACCTTTCACTTAGCAGCTGAGTGCTTTAACCATTGCACCACCAGTGCTCCCCCTGGAATATTATACAGCCATTAAAAATCATGTTTATGTAGCATCCATAATAAAATGGTAAAATGTTTGCAATTACATTAAAATTATGTCTGCATATGAAAAATAAGGAACGACACCCATAAATGTGTACAGTTGATTTATTGCAGGGAGATAGGATTGAGAGTTATTAACCAAAACTAAATTGTATTACTAGTACCTGTATCTACAATAAGTAGATTCATATAAAAAATATGAATAGATGAATTTGAGATTAGCCAGATTTAAACTTCTGGCTTTTGGATGTTCTTGTTTGCAATGCTTGGATTGATTATTTCCTTAGCCCTGGGCATGTGTGTGGCAAACTAGTGCTTACCTTCCCACGATGATCCTTATGTGTGTGTAACCTACATCCTGCTTGAAAGAAATGATGGTATAAGTGAAGGCAGACATTCAGGGGCAGCTATTGTGAATGTGTGGAGCTGATTGATCAGGAATAGAATGAGCAGGGGGCCCTTGTCCTGTTGCTGCCTGCATTACATAGAAAGTGACTCCTGCCTTTGTCCCATCAGAGGTCTGTTCTTCTCTTGCTTTTGTCTTTCCTGTGTTGCTCCTAAAACAGGAATCTTGGTCAAATGAATATTTTGTGTTTCTCGCGCATCCATGTAGAGAAGAGTTGGATAGGGCATTTTGATCAGGGCAGAAAGCAGAAGAGTGCCACAGGAGCTCTAGTAGAGGCATATGGATCTGCCTGTCATTTTCAGGTTGTGTTATTAGCACTGGTAGGGTTCACTTTACAGACAAAGACACTGAGATGTGGGGGGAAGCAGCTTGCCCAGGAGTCTTGTTTTTCCTCGCGTCCTGCGTTCTCAACTTGCTTTCATTACTCCTTGTTCAGTCCTAATCCAGACCTCAGTGGTCTCTCCGATAGCACCAGTCTCCATCTCTGTGAGTCTCTCCTGCTTGACTCCGTCATATTCCTCTTTTTTTTCTTTTCTAGAAAGAAAAGTCAAAATCGAACAGTTCAGCAGCCCGGGAATCTAATGGCTTTCCCTCTGATGCCTCAGCCAATTCCTCTCTCCTTCTTGAATTCCAGGGTGAGTTGGATCCATATCTTCCTTGCAGAAAAATAGAAACTTAGGAACCTATTTGTAATAAGAAGACTTGTATGCATCATTCCAGGGCCTACTGTTTTGCTGGTATTTTGCTAGGCACTTTACCTAATGTCTTTTCATGTAAATCTCACAATGATCTTGAAAGACAGATGATATTATCCTCACTTTCCTGTTAAGGAAGCTGAGACTCAGGTGAAGTGAAGTGTCTAAAGTCACTTAACTAGCAAGTGACAGGCCCTCATTAAGTCCTGGATTCTCGGGATCAAAAGCTCTTTCCTTTAGATTGTATATTTTTTGATAGAGCTCTAGAACAGGCTACCGCCAGAGCCAGGGCAGCTGCCTGTCCACAGTCAGCAGAAGTTCTGCCTCCTTCCCGGCCTTCAGTAAACATGCTCCTGTGCCGGCACTGCAGTCACAGTATCACCTCCCACACCTACAGGGGAGTTACTGCTTACAAGGCCCTTTCATTCCAGTCTCATTTTTATCTTTTTGTCAGCCTGTGATATAAACCAGGCCAATATTATTATTCCTATTTAAAGAAACTGATGCTCAGAGAAGAAAAGTCTTTGCCCAAGCTCAAAAGGGACAGAGCTTTATTCTTTTTATAATAAAACACTGCCTCCATTTTAGTGTGTCTTTGTAGGAGTAAAGACTGAAGAGGGCTTGTAACTTTCTCTCTGGAATTAGACTTAACCCAGCATGCAGTTATTTCCCCCCCCCCCCATTCCTCCTCCCAGCATCACCAAGGTCAGTGTACTATAGGAATGGGAATACAAGGGAGGGGTTCTCTTTGGTAATATATGATGTGTCAAATAATCATAAGGCTCTGGGAGAAATACGAGGCTCTGTTTCTTCAGTCTGGTCACCATCTCATTCTTTTCATTCAGTAAACATTTAATGAACAGTTACTGTGTGCCAGGTACTGTGTATTGCACTGGGGATTCAAGGACAAATAAGTCACAGAGCCTGCCTTCCCAGAGTGTAATGGAAGGAAACAGGTGTATAAAATAATAAATGCAGGTGTACACAGTATATAGTAGAAGAAGTGAAGCTTGAGCTGGATGTTGGAATGTATAGGGGCTTTTGATGAAGACTGGAAAGAAAACGTCATACCAGCAGAAGGAGTAGGTGGACAAAGGCACCCATATCTTGGGTGAAGGTGCAGATTGACAGAGCCAAGGGTGCGTCTAGAAGGATGGCAGGCATTGAGGCTGGAAATCAAGATGGACTTTGTCTGGCTGTGTTAGAGCCATGTCATGACTGCCCTGAGAAGCACTGGCATTTGAACTGTATTCTTCAGGCTGCAGGGAGAGCTCACTGTAGCAGTGGTGTAAAGTACAGTTAGGGGCACTGGGAGTCAGTGAAGGGAGATCAGTTAGGTGGCTGTTGCAGTAGGCCAGGCAGGAGTGAATGAGGCCAGAACTAAGGCAGCAGGAGAGGCAGGAATGACTGCAAGGGACCTCAGAGCAATAAGGTAAGTCGGATTTGGTGACTGCGTGCTGGAGGTGAGGGAGAAGGAGGAGTTGTTGAATCCTGTGTTTTTAATTTAGGCGATTACTTTAAACCTTCAGACAGAGCTTCCCTGTTGGGGCAGCCAGGTGGAGCCTGGGCAGCAGAGGCACTGAGCTGACCACCTCCAGTCTCCTTCAGATACCCGAGAGTGCCAGACAAATTGTATCATTCTCTACACACTTTGTGATGTGAGGAAGATTGGGAGATACTGACGTGAGGCCCAGTTACACCCTGCTTTTCCACTGGACAGTGAGAAAATACCAGATCCATGCTATAATTGGTGGACCATAAAGAAGGGATGAATAAGCATATCCTGACCTTCCTGAAGTATAAAAGTGGCAAAGACTTAAAGATTCTTGATGCATCTGTTGCTTAGAATATGTTGTGAAACAGAAAATGCTTCATCAGCTTGGGCTCTGCGGGTGACTTGCAGCACATACCAACTCCCCGAGTGTCAGCCTTCCCAGGGTGTGTCTCGAGCAGTGATCATGGATCCAGTTGTGTCCACGCTACCTGAGAAGATGCCAGGCCCTACTCTGAGAAGAATTACCACCCTCAGCTCTTGATGTGTTTCGTTTTCAGATGAAAACAGCAACCAGAGTTCTGTGTCTGATGTCTATCAGCTCAAGGTGGACAGCAGCACCAACTCAAGCCCCAGCCCCCAGCAGAGTGAGTCCCTGAGCCCAGCACACACATCTGACTTCCGGACAGATGACTCCCAGCCCCCCACTTTGGGACAGGAGATCCTTGAGGGTAAGTCTTGGTTGACAAAGGATGAGCATCTTGAAGGGGCCTTGCTTCTTGCTGTTCCTGTTTCTCCTCTTAAGAGTGAGAACTTAGAGAGTGTGCTTCAGAGCCTCTTGTTAGCAGCTTGGGATACTCTAGGGAGTGAGGGTATTTTACCCTTCCACAGAATGAAGGAAGTAAACAAACCAATTTGTATTGAGTGCCAGGCTCTGTGTAAGGCACTTTTCATGTTTAATGCCCGACTGTTATCTCCATTTCACAGATTAGAAAATGGGGACTTAGAAACAGTAAATTGCTTGTCCAGGATTACATAGCGTAGTGGAACTGGATGTCAGTTTAAGAGCCCTGGTGCACAGTGGTTAAACGCTTAGCTACTAGTCAGAAGGTCCATGGTTCGAACCCATCAGCTGTTCCATGGGAGAAAGATGTAGTGGTCTGCTACAGCCTTGGAAACCCTACGGGGAAGTTCTGCTCTGTCCTGTAGGGTCACTATGAGTCAGAATCAACTCGATGACAACAGATAACTTCAGAGTTCATGCTCTTTTCATTATACCCTGCAGATTTCTGGTTGTAACACATATACAAAGGTGTATATATGTCTTAGACCCTTTTATCTGTCACCTATTAACATTAAGGCTACAAAATGTAACTTGTTTCCCTGTAGATAATGCCAATAATAGTATTGTGTGCTTACTGTTTGTCAGACATTGTTCTAAGCTCCTTACACATACATCTCATTGAATTCTCATGGCAGCCCTAACACTGAGCAGCTGGGTTAGAATCATAGTGTTTGGGCTGGAGCTGCTTCATCAGCTCTTGATGCTGCAGAATAGACCACACTCCCCAGCCTAGCATTGCAGTCCTCTGTGATCTGGCCACATTTGACTTATCTCCCATGATGAGTGTGGCTCATCAACGAGACTCTGCCCCAGCCAGGCCCTGAACGTTTCAAAGAAGGAGTGAGGGAAACGTTTCCCTCACTCCTTCTTTGAAACGTTCAATTCCCAGGCCAGTGTTCCTCCCTCTTCACCTGACCACTTCCACATAACTCTTAGGAAAGCTCCCCCAGGTTGAGGCAGAGCTTCCACAGGCATCTCCTGCCTGCCGCAGGGAAGGCCCTGTACTTAATGCTGACCTCCTGCTTTTTCAGAGCCTTCCCTGCCTGCCTCAGAAGTTGCTGATGAACCTCCCACCCTCACGAAGGAAGAACCAGTTCCACTGGAGGCACAGGTCAGGAGGCACTTTGGTTTTTCTAGTTTCTAAGAAAAAAGAAAAGACTCTGCGGACGTGAAATTGGATTGACAGTGTTGAATGTGCCCTAGTAGGGTAGGGTGGCAGCCAGGGGAACTGGTGTCCCCAGGTTGTAAGGGGAAGAAGTCTGATTATCTGTGAGAAGGGAGAGGGAGGGCTTCAGGCTTGTAACTAGGGTGGATGGGGCGAATGAACTCTCAGTAAGTGCTGGCTCAGAGGGATGGACCTGTCATTCCATGCTCTGGCTGCTCCTAGGTTGTCGAGGAAGAGGAAGACTCAGGTGCGCCACCCCTGAAGCGCTTCTGTGTGGACCAACCTACAGTACCGCAGACAGCATCAGAAAGCTAGCACTGTCTGCGCCCTCGCCTGCTGGCTCCCGCCTCTATTTATTGTGTTCTGGTTCTGGCCGTGCTGTGTTGCTGGGGTAAGGGCAAGCACTGGGGTCCAGAGCCTGCTCAGATGAGCCTTCTGTGCCGGAAGGCGCCATAGGACTTGGGGTTGTAGCATCATCTTCCTGTCCCTGGCACCTGTGTCTGCTTGCTCCTGAGAGAAGAGCACTCATGTCCTTTTTGCGCCTCAAGTAGGCTGGAGCATCAGCCACCTCAAGGTTCATCTGTCACCTCCAGGTAGCAGACTCTGCTCCAGAACCTCTGGACTGAGCTGCTGTCGCTTCAAGAGAGGAAAGAGATGTGGCAGGCACCCTCTGGAGAAGAGTGCCTAGGGTTACTTGAACTTGAATGGAGACTAGATTCATGGACATCCCTGTAGGACTAGGGGCCCTACTGCGCAGACTGCTGTTGAAGAATGACTTTGGTAGACTTTAGAGGGAAGGGAACGGTCTCTTCCAGGAAGGGAAGGGCTGTTCTCCAGATGGGGGCAGAAAGTTCAGGTAGATTCTTGCCCATTGCTGAAGTTGTCCCGCCTCTAATGGGCTCTCTAGCTGCTGACAGTCCTTTGTCCCTCTCTGTAACTCTTTTCTTCCCCTAAAACACACACACACACACACACACAGACACACACACACACACACCCCATACACATGCAGTTTTCCCTTTTTTCACCTATGTATTTCATTCCAGCATTCCCTGCCTCCTGCCATGGCCCCCAGCCCTTCTGTCACAAACTGCCCCAGCAAGAATTTGAGGTTCTGGCAACAGTACCCATCAGCTCAGTACTCCTTCAGCTCAGACTTTCTAGAAAGTCCCCTTTTCTTTGAAATGTGCATGTTTAATTGAACTTCGTGATTTTATTTTTTGTTTCAAAAAAAGTTTAAGAAAATGGAAATGGTTAACAGTGAGTGAAGACATATTTTAGCACTGCATAGAATATTTTTAAAATTAAACGATTTGAAATATGTCTTGTTGGTATCTGAATCCTTCATTCTTAAAGGCTGTGGGGGCAGGGCTTAGGGGGTGGTGACTGGGTGCTTGTGGAGTCACTGTGGGCTGGGCCTGCCGATTTTCTTCCTCCCTCAGAGTGTGCTTTCTGATAGAAATGATGGGAAGACTCCCTTTGAAGGTATCATGTAGTTCAAATTATATTTCTCTCCCTGTGAACACAGAATGCAACCAATGGATGTGCTTTCCACAGCCCCAAGTCCTTAGGATGGATTCATGTGTTCCTTTTTTTTTACTTTATTTTTTTATTGTGGTAAAATACATAGAAAATTTACCATTTTAAAGTGTACAACTCAGTGGCATTAAGTACATTCAGGATGTTGTGCAAGCATCACCACTGTCTAATTCCACCACTTTTTTGTCACCCCACACGGACAGAAACCCTATGCACCGCTTAGGCCCCTGGCAACCACTAAACAGTCTATGAGTTCCTTTTTGTTCCTGAGTCCTACGGAAAAATAATAGAGTCATGGTTGAAAATAATTCTACATTCTGTGTTTTCAGCAATTTCCTTTCAGTATTATATTCCCCAGAGTGGTTCCTCTTATTTCTCATAGGAGGCTCCAGGTGTCACGGATGAGACTCCAAGTCCTGCTGTACTGTTTGGTCATCCCTAGTCTGCTTTTTCTTAAAAATCTAACGTGTATCAAGTTGTCAGATGAATGTCACAGATACTGAAATTATCATATGTGGTACATAAAATAAGTATGTTTAAGTAAAGGAAGTTTTTTTTTTTTTTTTTTTTTTTAAGTATAATGAAGGAAGAAGAAACCATAAAGAATTACCAGGCAGATTTGAAAAAGAACCAAATAGAATTTCTATAAGTGAAAAACAGAAGTATTGAAACCAAGTGTCACAGAAGATAAGCAGAAGAGAAAAATCACAAGGGGACTTAGTAGTGTGGGAACACAGAGAAGGTCTGGAACCCCTCCGTCAGGAAGCTAGCAGGCTGACCTCTGCATGCGACTGGACAGAGTATAGTGTAGGAAGTGCTGTTGTAGAGGCCCACAAAGACAAGTATGATGACGGAAACGGTGCATAGCAACCATTCTCTGTCTTCACTGACTTCTTCTTTACCACCACTTGATATTCTCCTAGGAAGTCTGGGTAGCAGCCTCCACCATGAACCTGGAGTCTTGATGGGGAGGAGTTAGAAGGATGAGAAGAGACGGAAGAGGAAAAGTCGAGGACTGACCACAGGCTGTAAATAACTTGGGAATTGCTTCTGGGTGTGAGCACATTTGAATTATTAAGGAAAATGCTTCTGAGCCCACCTAACTAGATACACTGAATATGGGTTAGCACTAAAGAAGATCAACAGAGCCTGATGAATCTTGCACAAGAGAACTCGAGTATGGAAAAGGTGAGTGCCAGGGACTAGATTGCCAAGCCTAAGTTATTCATCGTCTAGGAAAACGACATTTATTTTAGATATCTTTTGAAAACATCCTGGTTCTCTGTGAAGTACAGCTGGTAGATACGCGGTCTCTGCCTTTAAGGAGCTTCCAGTCTGGTGAGGTAGAGAAGATAGAAAGGAGTAGGTGTCATGCAGGTGGTGAGTTTAGGGTCCAGACAAAAATCTTGGAGGCTTGAGATCATAGGAGGCCTTGTAGGACAGGTGGCCTCTGAATGCGGCCTTGAAAAATGTGTGCAGATGTGAGGAGATGGAAGGAAAGACTACTCAGAGCAGGGGTTAGCATGGCGGAATGTACGGAGGCAGTAAAGCTGGCCTATGTGCAGAGAGTGGCCAGGTAAATAAGTTCCTATTTTCTCCAACTTTTTATTCTGAAAAATTTTAAAGCTACAGGAAGTTGCAAGAATAGCTTAGTGAACACATGTATACCCTTCACTTAGATTTACCGATTATGAGCATTTTGTCGCATTTACTTTATATCTTGTGTTCTTTTTCTTTTTGCTGAAGTACTTGAAAATGAGGTGTCATCAACGTGACACTTTACCCCTAAGTACCGAGCTCGTATTTCCTAAGAACAAAGATATTTGTCAACATAACCAGCGTACCATTATCACACCTAAGAAATTTAACATTAATACAATAATATTTTCTAATACAGACATAGGTCCCTGGTTGGTGCAGATGGTTTGCACTCAGCTAGTAACCCAAAGGTTGGCGATTCAAACCCACCCAGCTTCACCATGGAAGAAAAGGCCTGGTGATCTGCTTCTATAAAGATTACAGCGAAGAAAACCCTATGAAGCAGTTCTACTCTGTAATACATGGGGTGGCCATGAATCGGAATCAGCTCAGCACAGTAGGACAACAATATAAAAATATTCAAATTCCCCCAATTGTCCCAATGATGCCCTTTATAGTAACTGTGCCACTGCCCCCTCTCAAATCCAGGATCTAATCTAGGATCACACATTGCATTTAGTTGTCATATTTCTTTAGTCTCCTGTCATGTAGAATCTTTTTGGGGAGGCAGGTGGGTAAGTATCTTTCATGTCATTGATATATCTGAAAGGGCCAAGCAGTTATTTATAGAATGTTCCACAATCTTGATTTGATTGTTTAATTTTAGGAGACTTAAACGTAAACATTTTTGGCAAGAATACTGCAGAGGCACGTATTATCAGTTTGCCCCATTGTTGGTGGGGCCAAGTTTGATTGATTGACTAAGGTGTTGTCTGCCAGACTTCTCCATCTTTAGGGTAGTTTTGCACTTTTGAACAGGTTTCAGCAGAGTTTATACTAAGACTGGAAAGAAAGGCCTGGCAGTCTGCCTACAGTGTGGAAGTGGTTTTGGAACTGGGTAATGGGTAGAGGCTGGAAGAATTTTAAGGTGCCTAATAGTGAAAGCCTAGATTGCCTTGAAGAGACTGTTGGTAGAATTATGGAAGTCAAAGGCAATTCTGTTTTTTTTTTTTTCTTTTTTAATTGTTGTGCTTTAAGTGAAAGTTTCCAATTCAAGTTAGTCTCCATACAAAAATTTATACAAACATTGTTATGTGACCCTAGTTGCTCTCCCTATTCTGTGACAGCACACTCCTCCTTTCCACCCCGGATTTCCCATGTCTGTTCAACCAGCTCCTGACCGTCTCTGCCTTCCCATCTCACCTCTGGACAGGACCTGCCCATTTAGTCTCGTTTATCTACTTGAGCTAAGAAGCACACTCTTCACGAGTATCATTTTATGTCCCACAGTCCAGTCTAATCTTTGTCTGAAGAGTTGGCCTCGGGAATGGTTTTAGTTTTGGGCTAACAGAGAGTCCGGGGGCCATGTCTTCCAGGGTCCCTCCAGTTTCAGTCAAACCATTAAGTCTGGTCTTTTTACTAGAATTTGAGTTCTGCACCCCACTTTTCTCCTGCTCCATCAAGAGCTCTCTGTTGTGTTCCCTGTCAGGGCCATCATTGGTGGTAGCTGGGCACCATCTAGTTTTTCTTGTCTCAGGCTGATGAAGTCTCTGGTTTATGTAGCCCTCAAGGGCAATTCTGATGAGGGTGCAGAAGGAAGTGAAGAGGGCTATAGAGAAAGTCTCTGTCATCTTAAAGAATACATATGGTGCCAGCAACAGAATGTTCCAAGAAATGTGGACATTAAATATGCTTCTGGTGAGGCTTTAAAAGGAAATGATGAACATGTGGTTGAACAATGGAGGAAGGACCATGTTTCTATCCAGTGGCAAAGAAGTCTGAATTACGTTCAGATGTTCGGTGGAAGGTAGAACTTGTAAGTGATGGACTTGGATATTTGCCTTTTTTTAAGATCTCTAAGCAAGATCTTAAAGGGGCTGCATGGTTTCTCCTTGCTAGTTACAGTAAAATGCAAGAGCAAAGAGATGGACTTAAAAATGAACTGTGCAAAATGAAAACAAAAAGGTTGTACAAACTAAGGACATGTGTTCTAGAATCTTCACGAAGGACAGGCTACACAATCTTTTGTTAAAGAGATTAAGCCTGTGACTGATGGATCTCACCAACTACCACAGCAGAAAACCCATCAGTTTAGACCCAAGAGGATACAAATAGGATGAATGGAAAGGAAGCTGTCTGCCTCTTAGAATTCTACAGGCAGGAAACAGGCCAAAGGAGCTACTTTTGTTGTCCTTCAAGAAAAGAAAAGGACTATCCCTGGAGCAGCTCAGAAATCAGCAGAACTGTTGGAAGGAGCACGGGAAGCAGGGCTGCCTCGGTTTCAAAGGGTAGAGCCATGGCCTCTTCGGTTTCAAAGAGTTAGATCTTACCAACTCGGTTCTAGGGTGTGGGGTTGCCTTTAAGGTGTGTCAAGAGGATGGGGCCACTGCCCAAAACTGAGGGGGCGGGACTGCCATGCCCAAGGGGCAGAAGAACAGGGCTTGCCAAACTGAGGGGGTGGGGTCTTCATTCATATGGACTAGGAGAATGGGGCCATCTAAAGCCAAGGAAACAGAATAACAGAGTTGCCTCCCCAGAGGGCCTGCAAGGCAGAGCTGAAACCCAGGGCCAAGGGGCCTCCACCCAGAATCCAGAGGGCATAGCCAACACCCAGAGTCTGGAGGGCAGGGCTATTGCCTAGATGGTCTCAGAGAAGAGGAATTATTTTCAAGCCTTGAGAGCAAATGTAAATTGTTCTGCTGGGTTTTGGACTTGCTTGGTGCCTGTTGTCCCTTCTTTCCCTCCAGTTTCTCCCATTTGTAATGGAGATGTCTACCTTGTACCTGTTCCACCATTATACTTTGGAAACAGATAACTTGTAGTCCAGATTTCACATTTCACAGATAAAGAGGATTTTGCCCCAGGATGGACTATGCCTAAAGTCTCACCCATATTTGATTTAGATAATTCAGAAGATGAGATTTTGGATTTAAAGTGGATTTAAGACTTTTGGGATGATGTGATGGGGTGAATGTGTTTTACATGTGGCAATGACATAAATTTGGGGGGGGCAAAGAGTGGAATATTATGGATTGAATTGTGCCCCCAAAAAATATGTGTTGTAAATCCTAACCACTATGCCTGTTGCTGAAGCCCTGGTGGCACGGTGGTTAAGAGCTACAGCTAACCAAAAGGTCAGCAGTTCAAATCCTCCAGTCACTGCTTGGAAAGTCTATAGGGCAGTTCTACTCTGTCCTGTAGGGTCACTGTATGTTTGAATTGACTCCATGGCAACGGGTTTTTTTTTTTGTTTGGGAATGAGTTGTCTTTGTTATGTTAATGAGGTAGGATTAACGTGCTTGAGTCAACCTCTTTTGAGCTATACCCACTTATTGCTTTGGAGTCCATTCCAACTCTTAGCAACCTAATAGGACAGAGTAGAACTGCCCCATAGGGTTTCCAAGACTGTAAATCTTTATGGAAGCAGATTGCTACATCTTTCTCCCGTGGAGTGGCTGGTGGGTTTGAACTGCCTACCTTTTGATTAGCAGCAGAGCACTTAACCACTGCACCACCAGGGCTCCTTCTTTTGAGCCATAAAAGAGATTAAACAAGCAAGAATGCTATCAGAGATGAGGGAAGAGAGATGCCAAGCCACATGAAGATTGTCCAGGAATAGAAGCTCAGAAGAGACAAGGATTTTCCCCCAGCACTGACAGAGAAAGCCTTCCCTTAGAGTCAGCACCCTGAATTCAGATTTCTAGCTTCCTAAGCTGTGAGAAAATAAATTTGTTTGTTAAAGCCACCCACTTGTGGTATTTCTGTTATAGCAGCACTAGATAACTAAGACAGCATCCACTGATGATTGAATTACTTAACTGGAGGCTGCAAAATGGTGATTTTTCTTAATCTACCATTCTCTGTACATTTACTCACTGGCAGCCTTCTATAGATAACAGTTCTCCTTTTTTTTCCTCCTATGAGTATTACTACAACCTCATGGATTCCCTTTACAGTCAGTATGCTATAATACATTATTATTGTTTTCTTAAATGTTCAAATTGTCCTGGATTTGGCCAGTTAGAATCCCTTCATGCTGGCCCTATGTCCTTTTTTCTCTTTTTAACTTTTAAAAAATAATTTATTCAGGTGAAGTTCACATAATATAAAAATAATCATTTTAAAATGAAATTCTGTGGCATTTAATATATTCACAATGTTGTGTAATCACCATCTCTATCTAGTTCCAAAACATTTCCATCACTTCAGAGTAAAATTCTTCACTCATTAATCAGTTTCTCTTTATTCCCTCCTGCCCTGGCAACCACCAATCTGTCTCTACGGATGTATCTGTTCTGGATATTTCATATAATATATGACCTTTGTGTCTGACTTCTTTCACTTAACATTATGTTTCGGAGGTTCATTTTGACATGTGCCTGTCATTATTTGAGCAGTTCCTTACTTTCAGGTACAAGATATTCCAGACCCTCCTTGAACTTTGCCAGCCCCAGACCTGAAATTGGTCACTTCTCCAAGGAATCCTCGAC